GCCTTGGCGTGTATCAGCACGATGATCAACGTGAATTCTAAAAGGGAAAAGAAAATAGTCTCTTTCAGTAATCATATAAGATAGATGGGTAGCTCGGTTGGTTTAAGAAAAAAATTATTCGTTAAAAAAAACGAGTGGTGTCTCTGTATATCTCTTCCTTTGGCAGTTACGACGCGTAGCACTGTCGGCGCAGAGCAGAGACACAAGAGTGGCATGGAGAGAAGAGAAGAGAAGAGAGGCTTAGGAGAGAGGTTTCTTTCTTTCGCGGGCTCGTGGAAGTCATGGCCGTCCCTTTTTGTGACGAATCATGCAGCAGGACAAGTGCTTTCGCACATGAGCAAAGAAGACGAATAAGAAGAAGGGGGAAAAAAAAGACAAAAAGAAGTCATAGAGACAGTCGGAGCTAGCGCGTACGTCCTTGGTGTGTGTTTTGTTAAGCACGCTCTGCGGCCGCAGGGCCGACAGCGACGAGAACGGGACAGCCATGACACTTGCGTGGCTGTCGGTTGCATGGTCGCGATCTCGTCTGCGACGGCAACCGCCAGCCCGCCACGACAGAAAAAAGAGAGGGCAAGGGCGCAAGGCCACGGCCTGCCAAGCATGCATCCCGGCTTGGTAGAGCTCCTAATGCGGTTTGGTAGAGCTCTTTCTTCTCCAGATTCACTGTGAAAGCTGATTCTACGTGATAAGTGATTTTCTTACTGAAATTGATTCTCTAGGATAAACTCTCTATATATAGTGCGGGGAGTGAATCAAGAGAAAGGAAATTACTTTTTTCATCTCTTAGTCCCCAGTTTATTTCGGAGAATCATTTGACGGAATCAGCAAAAGAATCATTTCACAGTTAAAAAAAACATTTCGACAGACCTTCTCCTGAATTCAGCAATCAATTGTTTAGATACGTCTCCAAATAAAATTGTTACGAATTAGAGGCAGGCACCGGTGGTCCATCAGATCAACCTGTGCAGAGGGCAGTGATTTTGATATACAAAACTGTTTGTTAGAAGCCTTTTGATAAAAAAAAACAGCAAAATTGGACGTAGAGCCGCAGACCTAATCAAAAGTCTTTTATCTTTTGTTCTTTCCATTCGCGTTGTAACGCAATACACCCATGGCACTTTGCGTGCTTTATATGACCGTGAGATACCGGTTGCTTTGTTTAGACCGTTTTATTACAGTTTTCCTGTGTTGCGTAGCACCCTCCATCAGTGCCTGAGTGACATGTACGTTTGGCTGTGTCTTGATACGTGTCTTTATTATGAAAAAGCAATGTACATGTATAGTTTTGTTATGTAGATACTTTTTTTAATTATTTCATAACGGCATGTGCGAGCAATTTAGATAAAACAACATACTCTCCATTCCAAACAAACAAAAAATGTGGCTAGAAAACTCAGAATGTCTTATAATTTGAAATAAAGGGAGTATGCGTTATTTAGGCTACCTTCACCGCGACGGCGCCGGGAAATCTAGGTCCGCACTAAAAGAGTTGCTTTAGAGTATTTTTCATAACTAATGTGTGTTATAGGTGGGTAATTTAGCCAAAGGTTTAGAACTGCGGTTACTTTTAATAGTGGAATAGGGTGTACACCGAACATAAGGCTAGATGTGTACACCGAAAAACCAAGCCCAAGCGTACAGTGCCTGCTACGACCTCCGCCCGTCCTGACACGAGTAAGGCCCAGTGCTGGCGACGGACCGGACCGCAGTCAATGGGCCGTTTTCTCCAACCAGTACGTACGCGTTCCTGCAAGTTCAGCAGGCCTGGGTTGGGTAACATGGCATCACTTTGTCTACACCACTGCTGTGTTGTCAGTGTCGGTGTAGGCCGTCTCGTGGATTTGGGCCACGTGGTATTTTTTAGGACACATACGGAGTACGTACGTAATAAGGAACCGCGGCAGAAATTACACAACCGTGCGTTTTCTTCTTCTTCTCAAAATCAAGCAACTTTACCATTCGTTTAGCACACCAAGGTGATCTCCAGCTAGACCTCTGTATGAATAAAAAAAAAAAAACTTGACCTTTGTAAATTGTATAATCTCCATCTAGCTAGGCCTCCTAAACTTCGGAACATCCAATTGCACGCACGCGAGCCAGCCTTTTCAGTTATGCCCATGTCAGCAGGGCCCCACAAAAGCGCTTTCTTCTAGGTTTATGCAACCGGGACATCTATCTATCTATCCGTATGTGCCACAGTTATGCTACGCGGCACAGCCAAATTCACACCCGAGAAAGAAGACCGTCGCAGAACCGCCAATTTAAAGTAATCAAATACTTACTCGCTCACCACTTAGCACTAAGTAAGGATTAATTTAAATTCGGTTGTCTGTCGAGTCCATCATCCAGGAGAACTCGAAACCATCCACGTTTTATACAGGATCCATGAATGAGTAGCGAAGTACATAAATAACATTACAAGCTTCAGTTCACATATAATACATGATCCAAATACATTACAATACCAGCTTTTAGAGTGGCAGCGAAATTTAATACATACGGATTACAATACCAGAGGTTCCCTTTTTTACATTATTGAAAGCTTAAACCGACGCTACAAACTTAACTACAATAGTGGTCGAAGCTGAAATCCCCACTGTGCCCACCAGGGAGGATTCAACCAAGCAGAAGCGGAAGCAACACACGGGTATGCTCTTCTAAGGAAGGACCCGCAAACAGTTGGGCACCAGACTACACCTCAGGGTTAACATCTGCAACAAAAGGGTAGAACAAACCCTGAGTACACGATGTACTCAGCAAGACTTACCCGTCTAGGTGGGAATAATTTCCCGACTCTCAAGGGTATGCAGGGGCTATTTGGCTTGCTAGTTCATTTACATTTTGCACGAAAGCATTACTAGGAGTGCATCCTTATATTCGAAGTTTTAGCAATCATATTAAGTGCATCACCTAACCATTCTAGTTAAGCACCTGTGCTACTTTTCAAGCATGTGGTAAGCAATTAGAACAACTTAATTCCCTTCTCCAACTTCCACCAGGTTCATTACTCTTCATTTTTCATGTCCATGTCTTATTATGATGAAATATACAACTTATTGTGTTACCTAGATGAATTACAGTCCGGAGGTTTATGCAATGGTCACGACGATTGTCTTATGCTTTAGAATAGGACTCGCAGACCTCACACCGTAATTCGTATAATTGTATTGTGTAGATTTTGGTGTCAAGTAAACGAAGACAGATCGGAAAAAAAAATAATGTTTCCATATTGTATAGTTGTATTGCAACGTAAGACAAGGCAAACCTTAACGTCATACTAATATATTTTTATTTTTATATGGTTACACCCTTGCCTGTGCTTCGAATCTAGATATTAGAAAGCTTGACACGAAGTAAACCTCGTTTGGATCAATGGAGCTAATAGTTATTTAGATCAAATGGGTCCAACTAATAGTCTAGCTAATTATTAGCTAATACTAGACAACTATATCACTAGTTAGGCTAATCCAAAAATAGCAGCTAATAGTTAGCTATATGAGTTGTTGGCTAGCTAACTACATTTTTTTTAAACAGGCTAGCTAACTATTAGCGGTTAATAGATCTAAATAGGACCTAAATTAGGATGGACTCTTCAATTCTTATTATCGTTGTCCCTAGCTATGTGTTTGTGTTCATCAAAACCAAGAACTCAGAAGGAATTTCACAAACCTTATGACAAATCGCCCAAATCATCCTGCAATATAACTGAACTAGGATGACGTTGTAACCCTATTAACTCAACTAACAATAATCATTAGCCAATTCAAAGTTTCAAACATAAGATTAAAAAGAAACAGGGTTACAATTTATTTTGCCACGGTTTCATCTGGCTTAAAAATTTGTACTCCTATTGTAGTCAAAAACAAAAAAAAAACAATGTGTACTCCTACGAAGCGAAGAAGCGCAGGTTTTGTAGTAGTAACAGGTTTCCACGTGTACCTAACATTTTACCTGCCCAACAATATTTATAGAGAGAAAAAAAAGACGTATGCTTCGCGTGGTGTCCTCGTCCTCCGCCTGCCTGTGCACATCCCTGTCCCAATCAAATTGATCGATCGCCCGCAAGGCCGCAACAGCTGCAGCAGCCGGCAAGCAACAAGGCGAGATCGTCGTCGGATTCGCAGGAGCAGGTGAGAGCTTCCTTGCACGCCTTCACTCCCATCGATCGCTCGCTAGCGAGTCTGTGCACTGATTTCCGTAGGGGGATTGAGCGGATTTGATAGGGGGATCGCTAGCGTGTATTCGTGTCCCGATTCCTCGTGTGCGCCGCCCAAAATTCCGGTCCTGATTACGCCGCCGATTGGCTAGCTCGCTGGTCTGGTTCGATTCGTTGCGCGGCGTGTTTTTGTTAGGGGGGTCTCTCTTCCTTGCCGCCGGGCCGCCGCTGTCGATCTGGTTGGCTTCTACGGTCCCCCCCAGACTTCGCCGCCACGGCGCCCACCCGAATCCGCCGCCGCTTCTCTCTCGGTCGCAGGCGGCGGCTGGGTTCGGTTGGCCGCGTAGAGACGTGCCGGTGATGTGCCAGCCGGCGACCTCCAAGGAATCACCGCACCATGGATGCGACTTGGGAGGCACGGCTCACGCCGTCAACCCGTGGCGGCGGTGCTGCTGTTGCCTCAGGTGCCTGTTGCTGCCGAGGTCCAGCTCGCTCGCTGCAGCGTGGATCTTGCAGCTGAGCTAAGTTTGGTGGCGCCGGAGAAATTGCATCTCATGGAATTGAGCTAACTTATATGTTCCTTGCAACCGTATTACTAGCTACTTTTAATCTTATACGGGATCCGTGAATTTGTCGTTAAGCCACACTCATGTAATCTTAGAATCATTTATCTCTGCATAACTAATTAACTATGCAAGATAGTTCATTCATTGAGTGCCCACACCAATTTTCAGTTTCTCCTTGTGTGCTTCAATTGCATACCTGCTCCTGTCATTGTGTTGTCGATCCATTCACCTCCATAGTTTTGACTCAGCGTCACTTATGCAGTTACTGAAGATTCAGTATGGGTTCTCTGGACACCGTGAGAGGAGACCTTGCTCTGGTTATTTTGTACCTAAACAAGGCTGAGGCAAGGGATAAAATCTGCAGAGCGATACAGTATGGATCAAAGTTCCTGAGTAATGGAGAACCAGGGCCTGCACAGAATGTCGACAAGTCAACTAGTCTGGCTCGGAAAGTTTTCCGGCTTTTTAAGGTACTTTATATGTATAATCATCATTATACTTGGTACTGATTTCAAGTTGAAGGGCTTCACATTTGCATCATCGTATGATTTATGACTCAATCTATCCTTGTTTACAGTTTGTCAACGATCTTCATGCTTTAATTAGTCCTCCTGCCAAAGGAACTCCACTTCCACTGATCTTACTCGGGAAGGTACGCTGATTGCTGATTACATGAGACCTTGTTCAGCTGAGGATGGTTTTGTTCTGAAGTTTTCTGATTGATTTTGTTTATGCGTGTTCCAGTCGAAGAATGCGATGCTGTCAACTTTCCTCTTCCTGGACCAAATTGTGTGGGCTGGGAGGACAGGAATATACAAGGTATGAATTTCTTTTCACATCTTCATGCAACAAAAAGATTGATTGGCTCTGGTCTTCCCCTGTGTCTTCGAATTTGGCATAGCAAAAAGGACTGTGTGTTGCTATCATTTGTGTTTTGTTTTCACATAAACAAAGGAAACAAGTTGATGCAGAAGTGTTATTCCCTAATATCTAGGCCCGTTTGGATCCTTGGAATTGAATTCATTCTAATAATTACAATTTAGACATAGATTAATTAAGCTAATATAGTTGTATATGGAATATATTTGTATATATATTCTTAGGCATAGAAGGGACATATTTATATGTTGCATTTCTATTGTAGGGAAGTGAGTTGAAGAGTGTGCTATAAGTTGGAGAGTAGAATTATAGTATAGTGATCTATAGAATCAATTTCCATCTCCCACCCTATGAATTTGAGATAGTCTTATTTGTGAGCTTGGAAAAGTTATGGAATGTTAAATTCAAAGCCAAATAGCCTAATCCATTAAGTAGATTTCAATTCCTCCAAAATGAAGGGATCCAAACGGCCCCTTAAAGAAATATTACTCATGGAAGTCAATACTACTTACTACATGATGATAAACGAGAGACAGGAAACTAATCCGATTATTTATACAGAACAAGGAGCGGGCAGAGTTCCTTGGAAGGATAGCATTTTATTGCTTCCTCGGTTCTAACACCTGCACAACTATTATCGAGGTACGTCTCTTTTTCTAGTATTTTACCGTATTACCATGTGTGTAAGTATGTAACCATATAGAAACAACTCTTTTATGTGAGCCTATACCGTTCTCGGCACGGTCTTGTTCCCACACCTGATTCATGCTCAAACCGTGTAGCTAGCTGAGCTCCAACGGTTGTCCGCTTCAATGAAGAAGCTAGAGAAGGAGCTGAAACACCAAGAGTTGTACAAGGTACGGTTTCTCTTTTGATACCAAAGACATACGGAAACGAAACTGCTCTCCCACATTTCTTCTTTCTGATGATGCATTTGGCTGTTATCTGTGTACCAGAACGAGCAGTACCGGATGAAGCTGCAGAAGTCCAACGAGCGGCTGCTCGCCCTCATCAAGTCGAGCCTCGACATCGTGGTTGCCGTGGGGCTGCTGCAGCTGGCGCCGAAGAAGGTGACCCCTCGTGTCACGGGCGCGTTCGGTTTCGCCAGCTCGCTGATCGCTTGCTACCAGGTAAGTACCTGTACAAGCGTTGCTTATGCTTGCCCCTGTTTGTGGAAAAGACGGATCAGCTGGAGTTTCATCTCTTCTTTTGTCGCCTTGGCAGCTGCTTCCGAGCCCACCAGCGAAGAGCAAGTGAGGCGGCCTGGTGGTGTACACGACGGTGGCGGCTGCATACGCAGAGATTGGTTTGGTGCGTCGCCGATTGATGGATGGCATCGTTGTCACCAGGAAATAAATCCCGGATGGAACTCTCAGCTCTGCATGTAGCGTGTGCTAGTAGGTTGGTTGCCACGCAAGGTGGCGGTAACCACGGCAATGGCGATGTCTGGTAGACTAATAATTCATAAATAATCCTATTGTGGATGGTTGGTTAGTTGTATGGTCGTCGGTTAATCTGTAGCTTGATGAAGGCACTGTGACCTGTGGCAGAATAAGAAATGGTCACCCGTGGAAACGATGAGTGTTGTAGCATCTCCAAGCAGTGTTCTTTCTATTCATCATTCGCCTTACTACTGCTTGTTTGTTTCATTGTTTGGGTATATAGGCTTTGAGTGGATCGAAATTCACGTGCTGCGTGCAAGTGTAAGCGTACGTTTTTTTTTTTTTTTGAGAAACAAGGGTACGGTTGTTGGGGGGAACGAGGAAGGAAACGATGGATTACCCGGAAGTGGGGTGCACGCCGGCCAGCTTCAGCCCAGCCCACATGGCGGGCCAGCGGAGTTCAGCTCTGCGTACGGGCCGTGGGCCCGTGGTGGTGGTTCCGACTGGATTAGGACGGATGGATTTTCCGCGCGTTCCTCGACCGGAGAGGCGGCGGTCTGGGCCGACGCGGGGTCGCCGTTGAGGAAGATCGGTTGGCGGCGCTGGCGTCTGTGTGGCTGTGTCTACACTTTACTGTGCACCTGATCCTGCCTACAAGCAGGTTTTATTATATTTTATATATACGCTTTTTTAGGAGTAAGTAGTCGTATATTATTAGCATCACTAATTGAGGAGGTGACCAGAGGTGTACTACATGACATGACTATACTCCATTTATTTATGTATGAATGTATCCACTCGGTGACGTGGCAGAAGGCGGGACGAAGTGAAAAATCCTGGATGTAGTGGACGTGCATACGGTTACGGATCGGGATTGCAACGACGGTCGGCGACACGGTCAAAGAGGTGTGAGAGAGTATCCCGGTATCCATTTCCCATCGGGGCGTGCTCGTGATGATGATTGACGAAGACCGACCACGATGGATGGGCAGCGCAATGGGCTGTCCACGCGTGGCTCTCCGCCCGGGCCCTCCTGAGTCCTGACGACCCGGTCGCCTCGCTGAAGCTCAGCCCGGGCAGGCCACGCCGCCACGGCCACGTCACGACGAACCCTGATTTGAGAGCGGAGTAGGACGGACGCGCGGCGCGCGGCGGCGGCGGCCACATCCGCCCGCATCGAGTCCGGACGAGGAAGCAGCCGCAGCTGCAGCCTCGGGTCGGGGGCGAGGCGGCAGGTAGCCCACGCGTTTCCGCGGACGGCGCGACGGCCACCGCTGTGTCCGAGCTGTCACAGGCAGGAAGTCGCCCCAGCGGCAAGCCGATGCCGAGCCGACGGAAAACCAAACCAAACCAGTGGACTGCCGCCGCACAGGGTTGGGCAGCACGTGCCAAGGCCCCACCGTCACGTGACGTGCCCACGACTCCGATCCGCCCACGGCTTCGCTTGGAGAGACGAGCTAGAGGGGATCCGAGTGCAGAAAGCGCCGGCGTATTGTACTAAACTCTTGGAAACCTATAGACAAACCTTTTTATCTTACGTCAAATCAAAAAATAACATTTTATCGATCTGGTAACTAAAATTGAGCCTGTCATAAATAATAAGATAACGATATGAAGCCAACCGGGGAGAGAGCATGTAGGCCCCTTTTCAAACCTCCGGATTTTTAAAAGTTACAGGAAGTGGCTTGGGATGATTCTTTTTGTTATGAGTAGGTCCCACATACTCTGACATGTGTGGGTTTTTTTTGACAAATTTTGAACTCATTGATTGGCATCTTTGTGGGAAGGAGAGAGTAATTTTTTAAGAGGTGCTCTCCGTGCTGGTCACGCGGTGGAAGGAGAGAGTAATACTTCCTCCGTCGATAAAAGAATGCAATTCTCGCTTTTCGATAAGTCAAACAATTTAAACTTTGACTAAATTTATATAAAAAAGTACTAACATTCGTGATACAAAATAAGTATCATTGAATTCATTATAAGATATATTTTCATAATAAATTTATTTGGAGACATAAACATTAATACTATTTACTATAAATTTGGTCAAACTTAAACTAGTTTGATCGCCACGAACCCTATAATTGCATTATTTTCTGAACGGAGGGAGTACTATCGTATCTGTTGACACAAAAATATGACGATGTGATCAACATACAGCAAGCCGGAAGATCTGAAGTGGAACATGATCAGAGATCTGCTTGGCTTCAACACAGAACCCGTCGATTCTGAAAACCTAACGCCATGCCAGTTAATTTGACCTGCAATTGACAAGGAGAGAAAATCTTATCAGTAATTTAAGGTGGAACATGTCGGTGTTACACCAAACAGTTTCAAATGTACGGCTAGATAGCCGATTCAATGAGGCTATCGACTAAACAGTCAATATCCGGCGTATCTATGAAAAGAGTATAACATGCGAACAAATCGACTGACTAATATAAATGAATCTACAAACAATTTGAATATAATCTATTATCATCAACAGCGAGGTTCGATCGGATCGATGCAGCTATGATAATGATAACAAACTAAAGTCAAAGAATCTATAAAACCATCTATATGTTGACAGATTCATAAAAACATGTTATATGCGTGACAGTATAGGCAAATCGGCTAAAATAGTCGATGCAATCATAGCAAACAAACAGAGCACATATCTTGATCATGAACAAGACCACTAATCGATAATTTCTAATATAAAGTCTTACCAGTGAGGTTCGACGGGATCGATGCAGCTATGGTAGTGTCATTAGATTAGATCTCATTAACTAATAAGTTTATTCAAGATTGAAACATGCATTTGAATGCATACTATGTTTGATTAGAATATAAATGGAACAGTCGATCTAGTGAAATTAAGCCATCAATCATAAGATTTAAAGCGTGACCAGACTAGAAGACGACCAATTAAGATGATATGATGCCGATCTATCTCTATTTCAACTAGGTGATTTTGTTATAATTAAGAAAACATTAATTATAACAAGATCGATAACTGGTGAATCAACAAAAAAACAGCAAGGAAATTCTACTAATCTTAGCAGATTCGATAACTGGTGATATTGTATTAAACAACAAGTTATTTAACACAAGATCGATAACTTTGATCTATATTATGATTCGTAGGGGATCAATCAGCTGATATAGCCTTACAAACTATGATACAGATCGATAACTAACTTATATTATGGCTCATAAAAGATCAACCAGCTGATGCAGCTTTACAAGCATAATACAAGTCGTGACGGTACTCACAAGCAAGCTGGAGGTCGATCAGTCGATGCAACCCTATTTGCTGAAGAACTCGCCGAGATCTACAGTACTCCTACTCCTAATGCGATGGCGAAAGCCGGAAAGATTGTATTGATTGAATGTTCGTCCCCTTTTACAATAACCAGGGTCTAATATTTATATCCAGAACCTAAACATAAATCCTACTAAAATACGACTCATTATAATTCTTGGAATAAAAGAAAACTTTCTAACTTAATAATAACTTGGACTCCAATTTTTCTTATTCGTAGAGTCCGACACGTCTCCTTAGCGCCACTCAAGTATAGCTCATTGACGCCGTCTGCTGACGTCATCCATAAAATATCCGATTCTGACATTACATCTAAATCAGCTGATACCGATTCTCACCCAATCGATTCCTCGATGACACGATCATGGAAGCTTCGAGTTCCCGCGTTCTTCTTCACAAATTTTGGTGTAAACAGTATCTTTCCAAAAAAAAAAAGTAACAACACTTTCTTTTCTACTGTGCTAGTATAAAGAATCGCACCCATGCCCTGCTAGATCCTTTGTGTCCCTCCTACTGATTCTTCGTGAAGCCTTGGATGTCAGTGAGTGAGTGACCGAAGACCAAAGACGGCAGCAGCACAGCCTGACAGGTAGCCCAGCCGCCCAAAAGCCAGCCGCTGTCGCCATCTCCACGTGCCAGTGCCACCCCGCTCGTTGTTGTCGTCCCCCACCTTCCTCTGGAAAACCCCGCCTTCCTCTGTCGCTGCCATGGCGGGCCCCGCCCGCAACCCCCATGTCTCCCCTACGCGCAACGTTGCTTAACGCCGTCTGCTAAGCAATGACCCCACCCTCACGCTGACGCCAACGCGGCTTCCCCGCCGCCTCTCCACCGTCCCGCTCGCACCCATGTCGACTCCCAGCCACTCTCCAGCTCACCTCCATCTCCCGCCACGCGCCCGCCCGCCCGCCCGCTTCAAAATTCTCCCGCCGGCTCCGCTCCAGGCCTCCACCAAATCCTATATAAACCAGACCGCACACACGTTCCCACTCCAACTCCATCCATCGCCAGCCACGCCATCCATTTTTTCCATCGAACCAAGGAACATTCTAGACACAGCACTCGATCGAATCGCCGCCCAATCCATGGAGTACGGCGTCGCCGATGACTACGGGTACGACGACCAGCAGGAGCCGCCGTCGTCCGCGGATGGGGACGAGTACGCGACGGTGCTGTCGGCGCCGCCGAAGCGCCCCGCGGGGCGGACCAAGTTCCGGGAGACGCGTCACCCGGTGTACCGCGGCGTGCGGCGGCGCGGGCCCGCGGGGCGGTGGGTGTGCGAGGTCCGGGAGCCCAACAAGAAGTCCCGCATCTGGCTCGGCACCTTCGCCACCGCCGAGGCCGCCGCGCGCGCGCACGACGTCGCCGCGCTCGCGCTCCGCGGGCGAGCCGCCTGCCTCAACTTCGCCGACTCCGCGCGCCTGCTCCGCGTCGACCCCGCCACGCTCGCCACCCCCGACGACATCCGACGCGCCGCCATCCAGCTCGCCGAGGACTCGTCCGCCTCCTCCTCGTTCCACTCGCAGCAGGACGCCCCCGTGGCCGTGGCCGTGGCCGTGGCGTCCACGACGCCCGCGCCCCCGTCGGCGCCTTCGTCGGCGTACCAGCAGCAGGCGGACGCCGCCGCCGCGGCGGCAATGTACGGCGCCAGCTTAGAGTTCGACCACCCGTATTACTACGACGACGGGATGGTGGGCGGGAACGACTGGCAGAGCAGCAGCGGTTGGCATAGCAACATCGACGGCGACGACGAGTGCGCCGGCGACATGACGCTCTGGAGCTACTACTGAGCTGGATGCACCTGCACCGGCACAGATCAAGCGCCTGCTCTAGAGTCTCGAACACATGAGATTGGGAGAGGAGGCACGCTGGACTGATACAGAGGAGGGAGCTTGAATTTAAATTCAAATGTTTGTACACGAAGGAACGGCAAAAGGGCATGCAAGAATGCATTTACCGTTCGTCTTCCTTTTTTGATGGGGAGAATGATAATAATAAAAGACTAGTAGCTCTGTCTAGAGTTGCTCTATTACTATTTTTTGAAACAAAAAGGGAGGAGTCTTTTTTTTTGCATTTTTTCCTTTACATTTAAAAATAATAATAAGTTTGACACTGCTAAATGCTAATGTTCATGGGAGGAGAGGAAAACAAGCTCGTTCGGTTAGGGGTAAATCTGGGTAGGAATTGTTTCCGGTGAACACTGGCTATACTATATAAGTTACACTGGCAATCCTGGTTGTAATGATTCGAGGGCACCGATCCATAACAACCGAACGCAGCCTAACTAGGCAGGAATTCCAGGATCCCCTGTTGCTGCATGTATGGGTTCGAGTGTAAGTTGGCCCTGCTGGTGCTCGCGTTGCAGAGTTTAGGCCTGCATCCTGCGCGTGCCTGGTGGTATACCAAGTACTCCCTACATCCGGAAACTATCAATTTTGGATAAGCCAAACAATACAAAAGTTACAAACATTTTACATTAGTGGTCATCATATTTTTTTTATGAACTTAGTTAAATTTAGAAAAATTGCCTGGATTCAAATCCAAAATTGTAGTATTCCAAAAGAGGAGGGAGTAGAAATGGCAACGGCACGCAGGTCAGAGACAGGTACGGTTGGATAGCAGATGCACGGGCCTGCGGCGGCGCGGCGGCGGTGACGGTGATCCATTCATCCCAGGCGCACGTGCTTAGACAATCATTAAAATGAGCACCGCACCGGCCTCGGTTGCAGATTTGCAGGCAGGCAGAGACGCGTTTGCGCGGGCGGCGCGCATGCAGCTCAGCTCACGACAAATCTGCCTTCCCCATGGCCCATCGTATCGTATTCTCTCAATCTGCGGGCCCGCATAACGCAGACTGCTTCAGTGCCACACCCTGTGTACGTTTACTAAGGGCCCGTTTAGTTCCGAAATTTTTTAACTTTTGGCTACTATAGCACTTTCGTTTTTATTTGGCAAAAATTGTCCAATTATGGACTATTTAGGCTTAAAAGATCCGTCTCACGATTTCTCGGCTAACTGTGTAATTAGTTTTTTTTTCGTCTACATTTAGTACTCCATGCATGTGTCGTAAGATTTGATGTGACGGAGAATCTTGAAATTTTTTGGTTTTTGGCTTAGAACTAAACGGGGCCTAAAGCTATCTCTAACAACAAAATCCAAAATACAAGATCGATTCGTCTTTTAGGTAGCGCTACAGGCAAAAAGTTTAATACCTATTCGGTATCTTCTCCAACAACAAGACCAAAAAAAGAATCATTTCTGCAAATGAGTTTCCAAGATAGAGGATGTCCATATTTGGGTTGTGTCTCTCAGACAACCCAAAATAAGTCTCTCGTATAGATACTTTGGTGGAGGCTGATTTTGGGTCTCTTGGTACCCATTTTGGATTTGGGTGTCCATATGAGATGTTTGTTGGAGACAGTCTAATTCCATCTTAAAACTAACTGCACTAAAATAATCACCGTAATGCACTAAGTTCCAGCACACGGTGCCGCACGTGCGACTCGTTGACAGCTTACGACATGTGCCCTCCCTTGACCGGAGAGAAGCAGGCGAGCTTAATGAAGGTCGTTGCTAATAAAGATACTGGTACTCCTGTACTACCTGACGGGGAATATAGGTCGTTGCTAATCCTCCCGAATTGAATAAACATATGGGCACCGGCCGCCCTCCTACTCGCGTAGACGCGTCTGCGCGGGCGGCGCGGCGCATGGCCACAGCTCACGACAAGCGCCGCGCATCGTCACCTCCGGTTGCTACGGTCACGGTCAGAAGCAGCAGCGCGAGGATTCACTGATGATGGCTGAATGCCTGAATCTTCAGACTTTCATTCAGGGCTCCAGGTGCAGCTCCAGTGGATGGGTTCGTTCGCACCACTCTCTTCCAGGAAGGGGAGGTGGCGGACGCTGAGCTGATATTTGTTAGAGGAGGAAATTAATTTTCTTTACGAATTAACTAAGAATGACATAGGGTATATTGTTTTGTTGCATTTCATGCCGTATGCATGTGTTTGTTTGTGTGCAAAAACAATCTTTTAATGTGCTTAGTGCCATAAGTTTTGGAAAAAGTTTCAGAATCAATTTGTAAATAAATAAACTTGTTTAAAAAGGAGAAACACAAACACACCTGGTCGACCGGCCCACCTGGCCTCTCCCTCTCAGCTCCCTCCCTCTCTCACTAACGCGTGGCCCCGCCCCGTCAGCCTCTCTCAGGCTCGGGCTCTCAGCGACGGCGGGGCAGTCCCAGGCTCGGCAGCGGCGTAAGCGGCTCCCCCTCCCGCCTCTCGCCAGGCGCCTCCCGCCCTCGCCTCCGGTCCTCCGCACACCGGTCGGCGACCCTGCGTGCGCGCCTCCTGCTCCCCTCCCGCCTCCGGTGGACCGTCCGCGCGCCGCGCCGCCGCGCGCGGCCGGCGGGCAGCGGGAGCCAGCAGGCAGCAGCCGCTGCTCCACCAAGGCGGTCGCGAAGCGTTACCCGTCCGCTTAGCGCTTCAGCGCGAGTGCAGCTTTTTGGAACCCTGGAGATGGCCAAGTTTCAGGTACTTCTAATTTCCTGCAATACAAGTATCATATCTTTTTTTGCCAAATAGAACACCATAGAATTCTCTGCTCATCCTTTTTTAGGTGCTGAATTCCTTTGTGTTTGTGTAGTGCTGAAATTATGATTGGCTATTTTTCTGATGCAGTGAGGTCAATAGTTTCATACCTGTAACTTTTTCCTATGAAATCTTTCTGAATTTTAAGTTACTATTAATATTTGTTTTGTGTGCTCCATTTGGCTCTGATTTTATTGATCATTGCAACCACTCGAATGCTGTGTGTAAATGAACTGTCATGTTTTCCAACTTGTGTACGCATGACAATTACAATGTTTTTCATAGTCCCTAGCACAAATACCTCAACAAGCATGCCGCACGAGGTTTTGTTATCTGTGATGGTGTATTTGTTTCATGCAATCAATCATTATATTAATGCCATTAAATGTCATATGGTAAAGTCCTCTTTTGCTATAGTTATTTTGTTTAATGAATGTGCTTTCATGATCTCAATGATGCAACAACTACGAATTTTAGAAGGTTTCCCCCCTGCAGCAATTTAGTTCTTATTTCATCCCTATGTACATTGTACTTCTGACATGCAATCCGAGCACCTTCTTTTGAGGTCCGCATGCCAACTGTTATCCACCTGGTTCATAGAAGATTTATTAGTGGGTGTCAGTGTTATTGAAGATGGTTGTCCCAGGTATCCGGAATCATATACAGACACAATGTAACACATCTTGTTACTTTGAACTGAAAACTGTGTCCTGTTGTAGGCGAACAACTACATGAATAATGTAGCTGCCTAACTGTAATTCATCTTCCAGTAGGTTCATAGGAACCTTGTTTTGGCCTATTGCTATTTCACGGTTTAGATTATGCATGTATTTCTCTGCATAAACTATCATGCCACCTATACAGCCTGTTCTCCTTGTCTAGTCTCAACTTGTTTCAGCTTATTTTCCCTCACAGAACACTATTAAACCAGCCGAAATAATAAAAAAAACCGATCAGGAACGGTTGAACCGGTCATTGTTGGTCTGTCAAGACAAGTTTGAAGCAGCCAAACTCCAGGAGATGAAAACAGATGCAACTCAGGAACTGGAATCTTGTGTCAACAGATTTATCGATGACAGCATCAGGGTCCTCCCCCATGTGGAACAGATCAATTCCACTCTCGTCCACCGCTACACCCGCCTCATCACCGCTGCGTCCGCCTCCTCCCCAGTCTCCCTGCGCGCCCTCCTCCCCATCCATGCCCGTGCCATCGTCCTCGGTGTATCCACCAACCCGACCTTCGCCACCAGCCTCCTCGCCGGCGTGGCGCCCGCCTCCCTCGCCTACGCACGCATGGTGTTCGACGCCGCGCCTGTACGCATGTGGAACACCCTCCTCCACGCGCACGCCCACTCCCAGTCGTCGCACGCTACCGACACCCTCGCCCTCTACAAGCGGATGCGCGCCGCAGGCGTCACGCCGGACCATTACACCTACCCTATTGTGCTTCCAGCTTGCGCGGCTGCGCGCGAGCCGTGGCTCGGACGGGCCGCACACGGCGACGCGGTGCGGTTCGCGCTCGCTGGGGATGGGTTCGTGCGCAGCGCTCTCATCGCGATGTACTTCCAGGAAGGGGAGGTTGCAGACGCTGAGCTGGTCTTTGCGGAGAGCCATGGCTCGTCCCGGACGGTCGTGTCGTGGACTGCCATGGTTGCTGGCTACGTGCAAAACTACTTCTTTGGGGAGGCAGTTGCGCTGTTCGGCACGATGGTTGCCGAGGGTGTCCTTCCGAATGAGATCACTCTGATCAGTTTCCTGCCCTGCTTGCAGGGCCAAGAATGGCTGTATGCCGGGGGTTTGATGCAAACATTCCGTTGGCTAATGCGCTCATCGCAATGTATGGGAAGTGTGGGAGCATTCCCATGGCAGAAGCTTTGTTTGAGGGAATGGCAGTACGCAGTCTGGTTTCCTGGAACACGATGGTTGCAATGCATGAACAACATGGTGATGTGGTTGAGGCAATCAAGTTATTCTGTAGGATGCTTAATGAGAAGGTGGGGTTTGATTGTGTGACTTTGGTCAGTGTTCTGTCTGCTTGCGCACACTCACGAGCCCTGGAGACTGGCAAATGGGTGCATGAGTTTGCCCGGAATCATGGGCTTGACACAGATGCAAGGATCGGCAATGTTCTTGTTGATATGTATGCAAAGTGTGGCGAGATTGCTAGTGCAAGGAATGTCTTTGACTGTTTGCGTATGCGGAGTGTTGTGTCCTGGAGTGCCATGATAAGTGCATATGCTAATCATGGTGATTCTGAAGGGGCTCTTAAAATCTTCTCCCTGGTGAAAAGTGGAGGCGTGAGACCAAATTCGTTCACATTCACTGCAGTTCTAGTGGCATGTGGCCACTCAGGCCTTGTCAATGATGGACTAAAGCATTTCAACAGCATCCTTTCTGACTACCAAATGTCGCCTACAGTGGAGCACTATGCCTGCATGGTTGACATGCTAGGGTGTGCTGGTAGAAATCATCAGGGGAATGTCTCTGCGCCCAGACAAGTGCGTGTGGGATGCATTCCTTGGGGGTTGTAAGCTTCACGGTAATCTGGAGCTAGCTGAATTCGTTGCCAAGGACCTCTTCTAGTCAGGCTCCAATGATGTCACATTCTATGTTTTGATGTCAAACATGTACTGTGAAGCTGGAATGTTGAAAGATGCAGAAAGGATGAGATGGGCCATGAAGGAGATGGAACTCAATAAGACAGCCGGGCATAGCGCAGTAAACCAATAGGGAGGTAGCAGACCTGTGTAATTCTGATATTAGTTAGCTTTATTATTTACCATTATATACTAACATGAAGTTTTGATGGTCATCATCTGTAGTAATTTAGGGTATATGGTACACTAGTTATTATAAGCTCAACACATGGGGGCTCTTCCCTTCTCTCACTGACCATTTTATGCGGGACTTCTAACATGGCTTTCCAACCTTATACTAAATATCTGCTGATATCCTCTTCAGGATTTTCAGACATGAGTTTGATGTAATTTTCATATCAGAGCAACAAAATTATTGGAAACAAAGACCGCCTTCAAGGTACACTATGAGTAAACCCTGAAAAAGGTGCCTTTTGTGGATGCCATATTCAACCAAAATGACATTGTGATGCCTGAGCGGAACTTCAAAATGTATCCCAAATATACCCTGACCATTACTGAAAGGTGGGACTTGCTAACTCTCACTCCCATGGGGTTGCAAGTGTCACATCTTGCAGCACTCTATACTCATGAAGTAGGAGGAGATCCACAAAGTCCCCAGACCACTTGCTGACCAAGTCCGATCCGCCTCGCTACTCACTCCACCGTGCCGGGGCTGTGAGTAGGGATAGAAATGGATGTCTGAAAATCTGAATTATCTGAATTCGTATCCACTAAAAACGTAAATATGGATATTCGTATTCGCATCCGTAACTAATATGGATACCCTTTTGTTATATTACCTTCCCTTTTTATGGGCTGATGCTTTTGCTCTTTCTTTACATTACCATTTGTTTTATTAGTCCATTAGCTCTTTGGTTTTGTAGTATAGATTTTTCTCCTGTGGGATGTTTTCCTGTACACAATCATCGGACTCTGATGTTTGATTTATCTGTGTTCAATCTGTTGAGCATCAGTCATTCATAGTTTCAGTCTCAATTTAATTTTGCACAGGAACATGTTCAGTTTGGCCATCAGACAAATCTTCAGTTTGGCCATTCAGTTATATGTAGCAGGCTTTTTATCATTAAGTATGATCTAGCTGCAGATAGTATGTTCCATAGTTTTAGACTTTTAAAAATGGCTTGCATAATTTCAGGCTTGCGTGTCGCCACGTCTGCTAATCATGGATAGCTCCGATCGCTTCCTATCAGTCAGGTAACCCGTCAAAGCTTGCCTGTGTTCTGCGGGTCAACAGTGGGTAGGGGACACACATGCTTGCGTGCAGGACTGTGTGCGGTGCTGATTTTTCACATATCCCTAATAGCCATCACTCTTATGCTGTTTGGTTCTGATGCAATTAGTTCATGGATGGACACGGCTTTGCACTGTCCATATCTAGAAGATTGGACTCTGCAATCACTGTAGGTGGTCGATTGTTGGCATTGCTCCATTAGTTGATTGGCTAGCATCCAAGAAAATTAGTTGCAACATAGTTACTGCTCATGGAAGTACTGCAACCGTAGGTCATTATCAGGCATTTGGATATCTGCAGTGATGTCTCTGGCATTACTGCCTTCATTTTCCTTACTTTGTTTGTCATCTCAGGGACCAACTTGTTTGGAGGAACCACTATTGGCAACCATGTCCCACTCGTCGTGCCTTGGTGTGCAGCAATCATCGGAAGCAGAAATTAAAGCACGGTCCACCCACAGCCATGTAGAAAGGTATATGGAATAATGGTCATTCTCTGAAAATTTTCAGCATTACAAATTTGTCTCTGTGCTAATTATTTAGTGATCATATTGCTAGCAAAATTTAGAATGGTAATACAAACAAACGGAACAATATGTAGTGTCCTGGCATCATTGTTCTTTCGTTCTTTTTCTTTTTGACAAAATTACCATCAGTTCTTCAGCTGTTTCTAAATTGGTGAGGCAAGAGGGCAACCTGTTTCATATATATAGAATGATATTGAATTATTTCAGTGCTACTTACAATTAGGAATTTCTTGAATAACAAAAACTTAAGTTGTTCAGTTCATACATGACAACACTGGGATCGAAGTGGAACTTTGTCAGGCACATCTCATATATGTGAAAGCACTATCGACTATCAAAAATAGAGAATAGCAAAGTTTCTTCTTATTTTGAAAAACAGATAATGGTGTTCCCAAAACAACAGCGCACAGAAGGGCCCTTGAGGTAAGCCAACTTTTAGGAGTCAACATTTATCCAAAACAGGGATCTAAATATCACTCTTCTGATTTGTTGTTCTCTGTTACTATCAGTTGGTGGAGAATGATAAGATAAGACATGCAAACATAGGCCCTGACAACCCTCCGGAAACAAGCTAGGACAACCAAAAGCGGTGTGCCATCTCCCTTTGAGGTCATAGTGAAAGAGATGGAAGGAAACCCTGGCAAGCAGCTGATAAAGGAGATATACCCGACTTGTGGAGATCACGGACCCAAAGAAACATACTTGCTAATGTTTCCTAGACCTGAAGTTTTTGCTCATGTCCCATTTCACGTGGCACACACTGTTCTGGAGAAAGGTATGCTCAGGAATCGTGCTCCACAAGAATCAGTGCATTTGAATTTATTAGTGATGTAGGTCCATTAGGTATATATGGAGCAAGCATTTATAGTTGATTTTGAATTTCATGTAGATCATGCTTGGGCGGTAGCTCTTTCATTTTCTTGGCAGTTTTTTTGCACACGAACTGTTAAAATGAGTAGCATGTAAAGAACTCTGTGCTGACACTGTTTTTTTTTTTTGCCGACTCTTCTGGCATCCAAACTATTTCATATTTCCTTCATTTTTGTGAAAATCCAAGAAAAAAAATGGTGAAGCATGTTTTCCTTTCTTCGAACAAAAGAAACTTGTGTGCCTATTTAGTCAAACTATTTATATTTAGCCAGTTCCTCAACTGCTTGTACATATGACTAACAACTGCTTATTTCACATTCGGTGCAGACCAAGAACACCTTGATTTCAATACCAAGAAACTGCAAAGCTTTGCCAAGGAGAAATCTTGTGATCGCTGAGAAAGCCTGCCCTAGCAGGAAGATTCAGCGCTGACACTGAAATCCTTGGTTAGCCTTACAGACACACCTAAGTTGACATGGGAGGGAGCAGAAGTGAATTATCAGTTTGGTTGGATCGTCAGCTGTCCAACTACAATGTTGTAGGATATCTCCTGTATAGATTGCTTTCGCGTCGAACAAAATTTTGTGCGATTGTTAGCACTTGCAAAAACTTGTTGCAAATTGATTTTGAGTTGTTGAACAAAATGTTGATTGTATAGTTTTTGAATTATGTTTTCCTATGACATTTAACGCGATAAGCGTATAGTTCCTGATGGAGCATCCTTGATGGCTTAGCTGTAGTTCCTGATGGGGAATCCTTGATGGGACAATCAGTGTGTAGTTCCTGTTTCAAACTAAAGACAGGTGGCAGTTTGTAGTTGCTGTTTCAAACTGAAGACAGGTGGCAAACCTTAAGTGCATTATGTCTTAGCAACACCAATGTTAGTCTTCCTCACAGTGATAACTTGCAATGTGGGTCAGTGCAGTGGGTGCAAATCTGTTTACTCAAAATTGTGCAATTGCAGCAGATATGACTCTTCAGCTCAGATAGCTCAGAACAGTGGAGGGCATGTTGCAGGCAGGGGGTGTTTACCTCTGCGGTAAACCAGCCATGTTGTATGAAATATTATTACCAGCGAAGTCTATTCCCTGTGTGTGATCCAAAGAAGCTCCATCCGTGGTTCTATTCTATGGGATACTTTACAGTTGAGTTTATTTATTAGTGAATATGAGCATGTTCCTATCTTAGGCGTGTCATAGACAAAGAAGTGGCAGAAATAGATAATCGTAATGAACTTGGTGTTTGCCGTCGCGAGGGCCGACCATCGGCCCATCCCCAGCCCCAGCGGGAAAGGACTGGACAAAGGAGGAGTCGCCGGCGCTGCGCGTCAGTGCCCTGGACTCTGGGAGTACGCCGGGACGGGGCCAAGCCCAACCTTAGCCGCGACTGCAGCTGCTCCTCTCTGTCCCTCAGCGGCTGAGAATGCAGATGCAGCGGAGGTGACTCGGGGGCGTTGCGGAGGTGGACGAGCGGGCGCGCATGGGAACGGCGCGCGGCGGCGGCGGCGGCTCAGGCTGGGCGCGCTCATGCGGCGGCGACTCGGGACCAGAGCGCTCCGCTCGCGAATCCACCACAAGCCTGGAGCGTCCGCCATGCTCGCCGGCCGGTACTCGATGTAGAAAGGGGAAGCACGGGACGGATGAAGCGAACGGCGAGGCCGCCACCGCCAGGCCGGACTCGTCCCCGGAGCGGAGTGGGATGACACATGACACTGACACCGACAGGAAGGCGGAGTGGCAAGAGTCGCACGGGAGAGCTAGGTGCCTCCACAGACCAACATGGCCTCCGATTGCATGTGATGCTCGAGTCCCTGCTCGTTTCGCTGAAATTTAACCGGCGCCCGGACGTCCGAGGGATACCGATCCAACGGATGCTGCCGTGCTGCTGCTGCACCTGCTTGCCGCTGCTGCTGCGCAATTGCCACCCGATGCTGCTCGCGTACGGCTGTGCCTGCTGCTCGCGTCCTGTTGCCTCCATCTGCTGCTCGCGTGCGGTTGCTTGCATGCTGCTGCGTGCGGTTGCTTGGATGTTGCTGCGTGCCTGCGCCTGCTGCTGCTCGCATGCTCTGCTTGTGTGCTGCGCTGCGTGCCTGCGCCTGCTGCTCGTACGCTCTGCTCGAGTGCTGCGCTGTTGCCTTGCGCCTGCTGCTCCCATGCTTAGGCCCTGTTTAGCTGCACCCCAAAATGCTAAATTTTTCAAGATTCTTCGTCACATCGAATCTTTGAACACATGCATGAAGCATTAAATATAAATAAAAAATAAAACTAATTACATAGTTTAGACGAAATCCATAAGACGAATCTTTTAAACCTAATTAGACTATGATTGGACACTAATTGCCAAATAACAACGAAAACGCTACAGTAGCGTTTTGCCAAAAATTTTGGCATCCAAACTGGCCCTTAGCTCGCGTGGTGAGCGCCGTGTGCTTGCACCTGCTGCTTACATGCTATGTCGGGTCTACTGCTGCGCATCACGTAAGGACCATCCCGCCGCGCCGCCCGTCCCCCGCCATCCCATCACGCCGCCCATCTCCCGTCGTGCCCACGCTAATTACGGAACAAGTCTACTCCAACATTAGAACAAAACGACTTCAACAACAGAACAAAACCACTATAATACGAGATGCAAGGTCAGAAAAAAAAACTAAATGCAACAAAGAAATATTACTTGTTGCAACACCATAACAAGGCTACTGCAATAAAAACATAACAAAAAGCAAATACGAGAAAGCAACATCAGAAAAAAAGACTAATGCAACAAAAAAAATACTTGTTGCAACAGCAAAACAAAGCTACTGCAACAAACAAGAAACGAAGCGAAATACGAGAAAGCAACATCATCAGAAAAGAAACAAAACGCAATGCGAGATGCAACATCTGAAAAAAAAACTAATGCAACAAAGAAAAATTACTTGTTGCAACAGCAAAACAACGCTAATGCAACAACATGAAACAAAGCATAATGCGAAATGCAACATCAGAAAAAAGAGACTAATGCAATAAAAAACTATTACTTGTTGCAACAGCAAAACAAAACTACTGCAACTTACTCAGATCTAGATCTAGATCTAGAGGAAGAGGAGAAGGAGGAGAAGAAGGAGAGCGCAGATCTAGAGGAGAAGGTGAAGGAGGAGGGCTCAGAACCAAGGACCCACCTACCTCGCCGACGCAGCGTGGGCGGGCGGTGTGTGCAGGATACACTCGATTTCTTCCGCATGTGGCTGAAGAGGGCGACGCAGGGCGGGGGCGCGAGGCGCACATCACGGACTGGGTCCGTCGGCAAGAGGCGCGGTGGAGGGAGTGCACGGCATGCGCGGGAGACATGCACACGGTGAGGAAGGATGAGCGGCCAACGATGAGACGAGCGGATAAGCACCGGAGATTTTTTTTTATTGTTAGAGAGAGAGCGGATGAGGAATGAGTGCTTGCTTCTGTCAAGCGGTAGCGGCACAATAGCCTAGCACGCAAACCGATGGACGGACATCTGTGCGACGTTTGGTAGGCTGGCTGGGCTGACTGGTGCTAGGCTTATCAGCCCAGCCGTTCGGCAGCCCAACACCAGCCGCACCAGCCGAACGGCTGGCTTATATCCGTTGCCGACTCGTGTCTGTCACTTTCTCCCCTTCCTCCCGTCGCTCGCGGTGGCTAGGGTTTCACGCTCACGCGCCGCTCCTCGCCATCGCTCCGCGCAACGGCCTGCGCCGCATGTTAGGTCGAGATGGCGGACTAGAGGGGGGATGAATAGTCCTTTCTAAAATTAATCGCGTCGGCTAACCGAAATAAGTGCGGAATTAAAACTATTGGTCTAACCAAGACTACACCCCTCTATTTATATTCTCTAGCACCTTCCAAGCATACTAATTAAGCAACAAAGGTGCCGGGTTAGCTAGAGCTCACCTAACCAATTCTAGAAATAAGGTCACACAAGCCTATGCCACTAGTACTTCAAGCAACAAATGAGCTCCTACACATACTATTAACTGCTTGTATCTCACATTGCTGGTTTTGGCTGTCTGTGTGTGTGTGTGCGCGGCCAGACTCGAGTACCGTTGTAGCAGCAACTGCTTCACTTCAATGGGAAGGAAATACAGCATATGGAGAAGCTCAGCGCCATTGGAGTCCGGGATGTCGACCTTGTCATGATGCTTGCCACCAGTGAAAGGTGATCTTGCTGCCCTACCTAGTTAATATAAAGGAGATAAATTGACATTACGTAAAGGTGTCTATTAGTTTCTTGCACAATAATAGGGTTTAGATTGTTACAACTAAATTATTTCTTTTCTGCTTTGGTGTCCAGATGGTTTGTCTTTCTTTAGCTGTTAGTTTGCCTTCAGTACATCTTGATCAAAACTTAGAATCTGTCTTTTCTCAAAAAGATGCATTTGCTTTTATTCCTCTTAACTAATCCTTAAGAATCCGATGCGGCCAAAGTACCGATGCTTTATTTTGATTTATGGGCATCATATTAAAAGAGATGCAATAGCTTATCTTGTTCAAAACTTTGAATTAGCACCATATCGAAAGACATACAGGACCTTGTCTTAGTTTAACTACTAATCTTGAGAATCAAGGAACCAGCAAAGCACCAATTTCCTGCTAATTACTTGTGTTTTGGCTAAAACTGTTAGGTCATCTCAGGATAATTTAAGGATGAATCCTGCTGATGGGACTGTTGTGAACCCTCAAGCTTTTCAACAACATATTCGAGGTCATTCACATCTTATCCCACAGCTCCTTCAGGTAAACTTTTCTTGTTGGCCTTATTTATTCACCAAGGCGTGTTAGTTGCCAACAACATGCTCTTGTGGAACAATGTTTCCTTCATTTGCAGAATGATCCTCAACTACGACAAGCTATTCTTGGAGATGACACCAATGAGCTACAGAATATCCTGCGGTCCCGCCACGAACGGAAAAACGAAACTGAAACGTAAACAAGAAGAAGAGCTTGTGAGAATCTCTCTGTTGAATTTTATTTGGTGAGCAACAGATTATGTCAAATGAAATATGGGATTGCTGATTTTTCATGCATTGACTTCGTACTACAGTCGTATAGGTCACTTGTGAGTTTAATCTTCACTGGTTCACATGAAAATTCGTTGAATCACTACATGCATTTTCTTTTTAAAAAGTATCGCATTGCTGCTTCCTATATTACTTCATTGAAAACATATTTGCAAGTTCTATCAGAAACGTATCAATGTTTTGTGGCATGTTTTTTCATGTCCACTCTGTTGCATTGCCAACTTGTTAAATGATAGTGTGGTCACATAGCTAATACATTTGCCTTTTTTATTTGCAAGCTTTATTGTATGCTGATCCTTTTGATGTCGAAGCTCAGAAGAAAAATTGAAGTTGCAATCGGGCAGGTAGGCATTACTTTTCTCAGGATAGCAAATGTTGCTTATGGCAACATTTATTTTCTTTCATATATCATTGGTAAAATGACATATGATGGACATCACTACATGAACATGCACTGTGTTAAGGAGGCTTACACATACACTAAAAAATAAAAAAACAAACAACAAATCTGCATGCTCCATGAAGTTGTCTGCAATCTCCAGGAAGGCTGCCCCAAGAGGACCTAATATGGATTGTATGATCTTATTTTGACACTTCCAATTTCCAAGTTGAGTATCCACGCTGGGTGAATGAAACTCCTGAGGGTGGTCCTGGAGGGTAAGCGAAGCTGCATACTTATGTTAACAAGTCATGGGTACTATACTGCTTTGTGAGATTTCATGGACTTGTTGAGTATCCACGCTGGGTGAATGAAACTGCAAGGTGTTGTACAAGTTATTGTGAATCGATGGAACAAATGTTGTTTGTGTGTTGTGTGGATGTAACATATTACTGTAAATTCATGGTTAAAATTGTTGGTGTTGGCTGTAACTTCGAACTCAGCATGATCATGATATGACTGGAAGTTTGAATTTGAAATGCTAAAACCAGCATGAGCTACTATTTGCGTCATTATTTAAACTTTTAAAAATATACTGTTGATTGGAGACTGGCAATGGAGCCAGCCCAGCCAGCCTACCGAACACGACACTGGTCTCCACTCCGCTCTCTAACGCCAACGCCACCCAGTGGTAAAAGCGTTTTGTTTTATACTGCCAGCGGCTCCACTCCGCGCGCGACGTTCCGAAGACGGAGCAGTGTGGGATACACGGCGCCGTATCCCATCCTTATCTTACGCACGTCTTGAAACCGTCCGACCTCAGAGTCGTAGCATTACCCTTTTTTAATCCTTTCGTCAGCATGCACGGGACCGATTAGCTAGTACAGCGACGGTTGAGCTGCATGCATGCAGCATGCTTTGCTTGAGTGGGGTCCGGAGTAATGACTGATTCTGAAAACGGGTGTACTCCGGGTAAACCGGAACGGAGGGAGTAGATCGAAAGCACAACTGGATCGAGATCCATCCCATGGTACGTAATCAGTAGAAAAATCAGTTTTTGTAGATGAAAGCCTTTGTTTTATAGATATTAGGTAATTACACTTGAAGAATTAGTCAATTATATAACAAAACAAATATCATTTCTTATACCTGATGTTCAGATTTATTTGATGATATAAATATCAATTGTGGCAAACTATTAGGTGGATTTCTTTATGTATACTTCTTATTAGTACATCATAAAGGCAGTGCATGTTATTATAGTGATTTAGTTTGACCACTTGTTTGAAAAAAAGTGCTACAAACTACATATTTGAAAGACAAACTCTGAAACTCATGCAGTTAATGAAGTGATGCAGCATTGTACTTACTGATTGCAATGCTTTTAACTATTGCTGCAATTCTCAACGTGACTTCTACTGGCTAAACTATCACATTCAAATGATTTTAGGCATGCAGAAAAGGTCACAAGCTTGATATTAAACATATAAGACCAGTAATTATGTCCTGATCTGATACCATTCAGGAACTCTACCTGCGTGACACATGACTACCTACAGCAAAGAGACTAGATCTATATCTAAAATGAATATATCTACTTTATCTCTTGGCATCCACAGACAAAAACACACACACGAAAGGACAAGAAATGGGATAACAAGGGCCCAAGAAATCAAAGAAGCCCACGGCGGCGGCAGAGTGACGCAAGGTTCTATTGAGTAGAAGGCAGCTCGAGCTCAAGTAGGAGTACTTACGTACTCCTACACACCTTCCCAACGATATCCTGTCAGAGGCCAATCTGCTGCAGAGCGGATACCTCTTCATCATACCTATGGCATTTATATAATGTTTACCTGGAAACACAAAAATACATACAGTACATGCAGCGCAGGTGAACCATTATACAGGACCATTCAGTTGTCAGATCAAAACCAATCTAGACGAAGCCAAGGACCAGTCAGTTGTCAGACCAAAACCATCTATCCAAGCAGGAAACGAAGATACGAAGACCCCGTAAAGCCACGAACATGCTTCGGTCTTTTGCATCCAGAATCCTCTGGAAAGGACATCAAACGTGCATACGCACTCCTCTGGAATGAAGTGCTTTCGCAAGGGAACGAAACGAAGAAGATCAATATAGTAAGTGTGTGAATGCTACC